AAACTCCCTCACAGACAGTGCCGTGTGAGCTGGTGCATTGTCATGATGCAAGAGCCATGAATTGTTGGCGAAAAGTTCAGGTGGTCTAACTTTTTCACGCAGCCTTTTCAGCACTTCCAAATAGTAAACTTGGTTAACTGTTTGTCCAGTTAGTATAAATTCATAATGAATAATCCTTTTGATATCAAAAAAAGGTTAGCAACATTGTTGCAATAAGCTCACGAACTTAATTGTTCAACTTCATATATGGTTTGAAAAGATATCTCAAAGCAGTTAGAAATGCACACATCAGTTAAATAAGAAGATCTTGGAATTTATGAGTTTGGATTTGACACCAAGTGTATTCTTCTGAATAGGGGAATAAGATAAAACAATACCAAAAAAAGGAGACTCCACTGAATACGAGGAAGGTAAGGGTAGTGGTGGGTTAGAACCATTAGATGACTACTGCAGACTATAGATAGTGACTAAGCCATGTACAAGAGTGTGGCTAAGTGGCAAAGGATAAAATAAAAACAATCAAAAGAAACATAAGAGTGTTAACACCAATACTGGTGACTGACTCATAGAAAATCTTCTATTTCTGTATACCTCTCTTTGTATTAATGCTAATAATTAGGTACATTTTGGGTCAAGATCAATAACATTATTGGGAAGAATCAAAAAAGGGGTAAGTAATTTCAAAGTATTTTGAAAACTGTCTCAAACTTAAAATCCTGAATTCTAAGTCCGCTTATGTCCAGTAGCTGATTTTGTAATCAGTTTAGTAACGTTTACATATATCTAGACATATGATTTGCATTTATATACCTTATTTTTTTAAAAGCTCCAAAGCAGAATTACTGTTATATTATAGATTTAGAAAAAATGAAACAAAACTAATTTTCTAAGCATTTAAAATCTATTATTGGATTTATTTTAGGACCTAGGTTTTTTGTTTTTTTTTAATCTCTGCAAATTCTAGCTATAATGTGAGCTATCTTGATTTTAAAAGGCTCTGTAAAATTTAATTTTGTTTATATCTAGATTTAAGTACCTTGTATAGAGAAACAGAAGGCACAGCTCCTTTTTTCAGCATTCTTCTTAGGCCATATGACTCAAAGTCACTTTCTTGAAAATGTTTAGAACATAGAAAAGCACCTGGTCCTGGGATCCAAATCTTTTTGGTTCTTGGGTCCACACGATTAACAGCCCTGATCCATTCTGAGCGCTGTATCCTATCAGTTGGAAATCTACAGCAATCATATTAAAGTTCCATTAACATGAAAATATTATATTAATGCTACAGTAGACATAAACCCATTTATTATTTAAATGCTTTATATAAACATTAACAGTTAACGTTTAATCTACTTAATGATTTCATTTTTCTAATGTCTTTATTTTAAATCCAAAAGTTCAATATCTAAGTGATCTTGTCTGTTTCAATTTGTATGGGGGCAATTCTTACATTAAATATTCTACTACATTTTGTCTTCACTGCCTACACTTAACAGAATCCAATCAAATTTAATATGTGTGTCTTCTCCTTTCCTGTGGCGATTTTACTGTCCACAGATTTTTTGGTATTCCTCTTCCCAAGCGGTGGAGACTAACTCCCCTCCTGTGAATGTGGGCTGGAGTTAGTGACTTGCTTCTAAGGAGTATAAAAAAGCAGAAGTGACAGTACGCGATGACAC